GGGCCGTGGCCCCCCTCCCTGGGGAAAGACCCCCCAAGCCCTTGGGACGGGGCCAGGGACAGTGACCCCAGCACGGGAGCTGTGGCACAGCACAGGGGTCCCCACCGCTGTGCCCCCCCCGCTGCTCTCCAGGCAGAGGGGTTCGGGTGCTCCCCGCTCCGGTGTTTGCCGAGGGTGTTGCCAAGAGGCCGCCCACTCGCGTGGGAGGGGATTTACCCCCCCTCCCTGAAGAGAGGGACCGCGCCTTTAGATTAAGTGGAAATGGGGCATTCAAAGATTACACAGTCCAGCTGCAAAGGGGAAAACCAGGCACAGCTGCGGCCTCCATCCCTCCTCCCTCTTCCAGTCCCTGCCTTATTCCCCTCCTCCTGCCCAGCCATACCTGCCCCAGGGTCCCCGCCAGCAGCAGATGCCCATGGGGACACGCCACCCCCCCATCTGCCACCCCAGAGCCCTCCTTGGCGCTCCCCGGCAGGGCGGGGGAGGCCGGGTGACGCAGGGGGACACTGAGTCACAGTTTCAGCTGCTGGCACCCACTCCGGGGCCAGCATACCTGCGGGGTCAAGGCTCTGCTAATAGTAACCGCCCTGCTGCAAACAAGCCGGCACCACAGGGGAGAAACCCCCAGGCCCAGGGCGACCCACATCTTTTGGACAGACCTGTCTGGTAGCATTATAAGCACTTATTTCGGGCTCTGTCCCCTCCTGGTTCCAACCGGCACCACGGCATCGCAGCCACACTTTCGCCCCATGCCAGAGCACTGGAGCTGTCCCCCTCCGCTGGCTGCTACCCCGCCCCAAGGCAGGGATGCGACCGGTTTGAAGCATTTCCCTGCACAGCGGTGCCAGAGCACCCAGCTCTCCTGCTTTCCACCCCTTCGCCGCCCGCATCCCCCCACTGTGGGGGCTGAGCCATCTCAGGGCTCAGCACAGCATGGCAAGGATTTTAGGAGATGCCTCATGCCCTCATGGCAGAGGACGCGACGGCCAGGGATGAGCTGCTGAGCCTGGCCAGCTCATGCCACGGTGCCCCAGCCCTGGACCAGCCCAGACACAGGGAGGCTCCAGCTGATTCACACACAGGAGCGTCTGCTGAAGATGCCTTAGGCCACACTGAGCAGGAAATTCTGGCTTTGTACAGGGCTAGGTGAACGCTGCTCGATTTTCGCTTCAATTCAGCATTTTGATTGCTGGGAGAACATGATCTGCGGATAGAAAGCTGAGGTTTAAACTAGAAATCTCCCCCTTTCACAGCCGGGGTAGAGGAGCAGACGCAGCCCGTTTCTGTAGAGCTCAGCAACACACAGACATGTTACCTGCTGCTCCCAAGGAGCTCCCGATTTTGTAGGACCCCCAGAACTGGCTGGGTGTTTAGGGGCTTTCTCCCTAGAACCTGCAGCAGAGGGCAACCAGGAGGCTGCAAGCACAAGATGGACACTAGGGAAAGCTCCAGTCCTTGACGGCTCCAAAAACCCTTTCATTTTTATATTGGCATGACAAAAAAAACATTGCCCCTCTGCTGGCCTGGGACATGCTGGTCCCAGGAGGATGCTGAGTCACAAAGCTACCACGAAGCACAGCCACGTTGCAGATCTCCCGGGAAGGGGGTGAAACTGCAGATGGCGCCAGGGCCTCTAATGTGCCAAAGGGATTTAAAGCAGGAAGAATTCCTGGGACTTGCAGCTGGGACTGGTGGCCACAGGGAAGGGAAACAGCCAGGAACAGCTGTTTCAGAGGGAAACAGCTCTAAGAGAAAGGCTTCAGGTACCAGGCAACAAGCAGCCAGGGACAATGCACAGCAAGGCCACCAGGACTGGAGCAATACCCACTTTGCAGGGTGCCAGCACTCGTAACAGGCAGAGTTCATGGTGCAGGAGCACGTTCCTGCCCAGAAAGCATCTCTGCCAGCAGCCTTGCATCACTGCCATGCTGCTCACCGCCCCGCTGGCACGGAGCAGGCAGGACGGTGGCCAGGACAGTGGCCAGTGACCACGTGGTGGCACCAGCTCTCCCTGCAGCAGCAGCACAGAGCTGTTAGACAGCCTCCTCCCTGCAGAGGCTTCACCAGGCACAAACAGCCCCAAACTGCTGCCATTGCACCGCAGAGAGGGGTAGGTCCTGCCAGAAGGGCTTCAGGACAGTAGAAGCAGGGATGGCAGCTCACAGCAAGAGCAGGGGGCTGCAGCTTCCCCCAGGATGGACACTGCTGGGTCACCTCCGCCAGCACCATGGCCACAGGCCACGGCAGGTGAAGCACTGACAGCCTGCAAGCCCTGACCCCCGGGACCAGCGCCCCGTGTCCTGCCCCTGCAGAGATTTGTGTCCCTCCAGCAGAGCTGAGCTTTCCCTCCTTTCTCCCAGCTGGATTGAGTGCCCCCAGCTCCACAGAGCAGGCTGAGCCCCCTGAGGGCCACCAAAGGGGGAAGCACCCTAAGCCCTCAGGCAGCTTGAAGGCAAAGCAGCAACTTGCTGTGGAAATGAAGTGTTTATTACAACCAAGCAGAGATACAGGGGCAGGAGGCTTCGCTGCAAGAGGTGCCTCAGAGACAGGGAGCTGCAGTGTGCCTGAGGGAGGCCCTTGTCTGCTTTCCAGCTGGTCCAGTGGGAGTGAGACAACCCACCTTCTCCCTGTCCTGTCCCCAAGCATTACCAGGGCAAGGTTCTGCCTTCCCAAGGGGGTCTGTCACCTCAGGACCGCTCTCCCAGCTGGTCCTGGCTGTAGCCATCAACCCTATCCAGAGACACAAGCACGGTTTCTACAAAAATATCCTTCCATCCCAAAAGAAAAGACTGTAGAGAGCAGGCAGGGCTCCCGTGGTACAGTGTTATTGCTCAGTGTGACAGGCCGTCAGACACAGGAACTTAAGGCAACAGGAATAAGTGCACTAGGTGGGCCCCCGACACGTGCACGGCACAGCCGGGCCCCCGGCCCAGCTCATTGTCTCAGGCAGTCCTCGGTGACACCCTGCGCAGCCAGCTCCGCCAGCACATTGTCCAGGTAGTTGGGGTCAGGGTAGCCATGGCCGCTCAGGTTTGTGTCCATCTCTGTCTTGTGGTGGATCTCATTCCACACCACCGTGTTGCTCTCGCCAGTGGTGCTGGAGGTGCCCACTGTGAAAATCAGGCGTCTTTTCCAGGCCACCCTCAGGAGCTCCAGGACCTAAAGGTGCAAAGAGAAAAAACAAAGCTGGCCTTCAGCAGCTAGGAGACTTGAACCATGAAAGTAGCTTGCCAGAAGCTTAATAGCCTAAATCCTTGCTGTAGCAGGAGGAAAACAAAGATCCCAGCATCAGAAGGGATCTCCCTCACCTCCTAGCTACCCATGTGGTTCCCCTGATGGGAAGGACCACTGCCTGCACACTGGTCTTCTAGGACTTGAAAAATATTGGCACAAGTTGAGACAAATGCATCCACCCAGAGGAAACAGGGATGGGAAGAGCCAGTAGCCAGACTTTGAGCTCAGCAGTTTTAAGTGCAAACCCTTGTAACTGCATAGCCCAAGACAGGCCAGGAGTGCCTTCCCAAAAGATAAGATGGGATTTTGTTCAGTAAAGGGATGAAGGAGAGTAAGTCTTCACAGTCAAAGCTGTGAAGAAGCAGCAAAGATTTTCAAAGGCAGAGGGGTTACAAATACATGTAAAGAACAAACAGCACAGACAACTACTAAGAATAGCTGGTTAGCATCATGAGGACAGCTCCCAAAAGCAACCCTGTTGTGCCCATCCAGCAGCACAAGGCCAAGAGACAACCTGAGAAGGGTCACGTTATCAGGGTGTGATACCTTACCTTTCTGCCCTTCTCATTGTCTGGTAGGTAACAATAGCGAGGAAAGCCTCTTGCTGTGTAAGGCATCCCAGGGTTGGGGTGCTCAGGGCCCTGCAATAGATAAGACATATTTGGTACAGACACATCCATCTTCATATCAGTTGGACAACCCCTCAGCAGCAGGATTTGACACAGGTCCATCTCAAAGCAGCTCTTCCATGTAAAAGCAGCAAGGTATTGCTGATGAGTATGAGGTATCCAACTTGTTCTTGTGAGACATGCAAGTATTACAGGTCCTCCAAGAGCAGTCTCATGCTGGGATATAAAGCCAGCTCTTCACATTACCCTTAACTGGTTTAGTGGTGGACTTGGTAATGTTAGGTTAATGGTTGGACTGGGTGATCTTAAAGGTCTTTTCCAACCTAAACAATTCTGTGATTCTATGATTACTTAAATTCTGGTGGGAGACCACCCCAAACCACAGCTTTTTCCATGTGGCCTGATGACACCCTAAAAAGACCACCCAGCTCAAACCTTTTCAAGCTCACTACAATCCCTGCAACCTCAATCATGGGTTGTGAAACCAGATGTTGGGGTCCCTCCCACCTTGTGAGCATGGGCTGAGTCTCCTCGCTGCTTCACATAGACATTAGTCTTTGCTGTAGGTGAAAGGCTGCTGTAGACCCTGGGGCCACTCTCAAAGGGGGAAAGATTGTTCCTGGAGGAGACTCAAGTCACTCATACGCTGAAGAACACAGCGCAGCTGCTGGCTCCAGGCACCCCAGGCTGCTCCGTGGTGGGCTGCCAGCAGGTACTGTACTAGATCCCCGTACTTCTCTGGGAGGCTCTCGCAGCTTGTGCTATCCGGCAGCAGCTGTTCCTGTGAGCGCGCTGTGCACTCACCTGGATGCCTCTGCTGATGTGATACACAATCTGGATTGTCCCACAGTCCTTGTGGCCAGGGAGGGACTGGGGAAAAGTGGAGACCTCCATCTTCCCTTTGGGCTGAGTACCGGTTTTCTCTCCATAGATGGTTTTACAAGAGGGGCACTGCAAACTCCCATCCTGCAGGGAGAGAGAAGCAGGCAGAGCTCCACAGCTGAATCACCCGGGCACAGGGGACCTGGTGGGGATGGGCCAGCTCAGTACCTTGTTCCCGTTGGAGTACATGGCCAGCACGCAGAGCATGTGGAAGGAGTGCTGGCAGTTTTTCAGACGACCAACCATCTCTGGCTTGATTGTGCTGCACTCGCATGCATCACCGTAACCTGAGGGGGAGGACAGCTTCTCCATGCAGATGATACAGTCCTAGAGTCCAAGACAGCAAGGAGAAAACCACCATGTAGTGCAAGCACAGGCTGATTGTAATGACTGACCTACCAAGGAAGCGATCAAGGAGATGCTTTAGGAAGATTTGCCTTCAACTTTAATCCTTCCCTTTGAGGTTTAAAGGGAGAGAGACAGGTTTCCTTATCTGGCTGGTATCACCCTACTCTGCCACCTCCTGGACAGCACAGGAAGAGAACTGCCATCAGTCAGAGTGGGAACTGAGTATGGATGTGTCCTGCTCCTCTACAGAGCAGCTCCAGTGCAGGGTTTTGATCTCTCTAGTTTTGACCTCTATGAGCACTAAGAGGAGACCAAAATCAAACTCCCTCCTCCACCCCAGGCCCTACAGCCAGCTCCAAGGTAAATGGGGAGGCACTGCCAGGATTAGCTACTCAACCCACACGGTGCTTTCTCTGTCACAGTTCTCTGACGAGGACAAGTCACCAGTTACCACATGTGGGCTTCAGGCAATGTCGAGGCCTCTCCACCTAGCATCCACAGCGCCAGTGCAAGCAGCAATATCTACCACATGGAATGCCCCAGGAAGGATGGTCCTCAGGCATCACTGTGGTTTTCACAGCACCCCAGTGAAGAGGCCACTGGGCAAGCTGGAGTCACTTCACTGTCCTCTCACCTCATCAGCGGGAGAGCCCTTCACCTCTTCCAGGTACTTCTTCACGACTGCTTCTGGCTCAGTTGGTGTCGCTGCACAAGGAGAGAGATGAGAGAGAAGAAATCAGACATGCTGTGAGGTATGACAGGCACGTGTAGGGTGAGGTAGAGAGAAGGGAGAACAAGCAAGTCACTGGCCAGGACGCCAAGGAGAAAGGTTAGGGTTAGAGGGGGAGAAAAGCCTGCTCCAACTGATCCCTACAAGCCCTGCAAAGGCTTTGCTATCAGAAATGGCTACTGGGACCGTGAGCGCCGCAGACAGGAGAACGCACTGGCAGATGTTGGTGCCCTGTGCCATATACCCAGGGTCCACCTGTAGCTGCTGTGCTCCAGTTCTCCCCAGGTACCCCCAAGCGACGCCAGCCAGGTCCCAGCTGGACTTTTTGTGCACACCAGAGGCCAGCTAGGATCAAACTCAACCCAAGGACACTGTGGTCTCACTGGGGTAGAGGATTACATCACATGTGGTGTAAAAGGAGAAAAAGCATTCCCACATGGCCCCAGCTGACATGGGAGCTTCTCATGCCCTGCAGCTGGCACCTGATAAGGAGAGACCCAGCAATACACTAAGCACCAGGCCCTGTTTCAAGTATGGCAGAACAAGCCTCACATCCTTAGCACAAAATAGCAGCTTTTCTCTCAAACTTCCACATACTCAAATCCAGCAAGACATACCACAAGTCACAGGGTATATAAAACAAACCAGCTTTATAACAGCTACCCTATTTGCAGCACATGACACCAATATCTCCACTTTCCCCTAAATATAGTCCCTGCTGCCCATCCACCCAGGCACAGGCACCTGAGCAGCCCACCAGCATCAGCAGCCTGGTCCCCTTGGAGATGTTACAGGATTAAGCAAATAAACATCACACAACACCCAGAGCAAGTTACCGCCAGGAGCATCAGCAGTCACTTCAAATCCCAGCCCATCCTTTTGGAGCTGCCCAGCAAGGCTTGGCTTAAGCCAGTGAGCATCACATGCCTCTGTGTGGCACCCAGCCCCAGGCAACAGGACATGAGGTCCTTACCGGTCTGATGGCCCATCACAGAGGATGCCAGGCTCTTCCACCAGCCTAGGAAAGGAAACATTTGCACAAGTGACATTATGACTCCACCTTGCAGGAGGCAAAAGAGACCTGTCACTTGGCTTAGGGGGGAACTTTGCCCTTCCTTCCCAAATCTACTTCTGGGAGAGATCAGGGGAAAGCAGTGCTGTGACAAACAGGCCAACAAAGGCATAGCTCTTCCTTCTCCATCCTGGCTGGCTGAGCCACCGGGGCAGTTTAGGGAGCAAAGGAAATGCTAGCAGCAGCCAGACAGGCCACAAGCATCCGTGCCCAAGGGCCTTACGAGGAGTTATAGTCTGACACTGCCCCAAAGAGCTTTGCTCTCGAGCTCGTTTCTAAGCCACTGTAGGACATCAGCTGTGCTTTTAGCACAGAGGGTACTGCTACTCCAAACTGCCATGCTCCCAGGTGGACGCAGAGCATCGCCATGTGCAACTGCCAGGCATCAGAGCTGCAAGTGTACCTGTACAACATGCATCTTCAGCTCTCCCCGTCCACTTTGGGGCTTTCAAGGAAGTTGGAGGGTTCACAAGTGTTGCCTCTCTGGTTGAAAAAGCTGTGCATCAAGAGACAGTCACACCAGAGCCAGCACCAAGCTGTTCTGCCACCCCAAAAAGCAGCCTCTGTCACCAGCAGGAAGGGATGGGTGCTATTTTCTGGATAACCACTTTTCAAGGTAAATGCAAACATGGTGAAGCAGAAGGGAAGGACTGCTTGCATACCACAGGTGTTGTTAGACAGGCACAGACCTGGATGGCACAGACCCCATATCACATAGAAGCCCCTTGTTCCTGTGAACATCAGCTCTGCAAGCTAGCTTGGGGCAACAGAAGAGAGCAAGGCAGAGCGCTAATGTGGGCGGAAAATCATTTAGCTAAGGAAGACCGATGAACTGTCTTCCTGAAGTTGGACTCTCTTAAATGAAGACACAGTCATTAAGATGAGTTATTTTCAGAAGGGGATTCCTGGCCATCCTGAAACATGTGATTTCTGGCAGCAGTAGCAGGCGGAAGAGATGACTGAGCACACAGAGCAAGAAAAGGAGCCCATGAGGTGAAGGGATGCTCCCTCCGAGTGCTGGTCCCAGGCAGGAGAGATGCCTGACATCTCAGGCAGAGCAGGGCTGTGAGGCTCACCCTCTAGAGACCCTTAGTCAGTAAGGTGGTAACAGGATAAAATAACCATTAAGCCAAAGAGCAACATGGAAGTGGGCGTTTTCCACTCCAGGGGCATGCCAAAATCCCCTAGAAAAGCATTTCCAAGAACTGCCAGAAAAAGAGCAGGAGACAAACAGGAACCTGGGCATGCCCCAGCCTTCCAGCTCTTAGGCCAAGAGCTCAGCACTGCCAGGAGCTGCTTCAAGGCCTCATCACCAGACCCCACAGGGAATGCAGCTCCTTGCATTTTCCAAAGGTGAGAAACAGGTCCAAGAATCCTCTCTGCTGGGACCTTGCTCGCACACAGATCAAGACCTGCCAGCCAGAAACGAGTCACAAGGGGATGCAATCAGTCTGCTGTCTCAGTGCATTGTCAGAGCTCAGCTTGGTGCTTACTGTGCCTGAAGCCCTCCCAGCTGTGTGCTCTGTGGTGTCCCCTCTCCAGGCTAGCAAACACAGGGTGGCACTTCCCAGACGTGGCAGCTGGAACCAGGCTCTGGTTTGCAACCACAAGAGACCTTCACGGTCACATGGGAGACAGAGGGTTCAGCTTCTTCTGCTCTGCAGGTTTTGGAGAGGCCCACGTGAGCAGGGCTAGCTGCTACCCACCATAACCCCATCTGCTTCCATGAATACCCAGTCATGATGACCACCGCATTCCCATTCCTGAGGATCCTGTGCTGCCTGCCAGACTGACCACCAAGTTCTTCTCCATCTGAATTGTGTTTTCCATGTGGCTCTTTTTGAAGTGCCCTTCTTGTCTCCTCTGGCTATGGGCTAGAGAAAGCAGTGCCAAAAAGATGCACAGACAAGGCGGTGAAGACAGCAAGGGAAGACGGTGTGTTACACCAGCAGCAGTGCCTGCCCAGTACTTGGCAGAACACCCCAGCTCACCTGCTCCCACCTGCACAGATGTGAGCAGCTTTAGAGCTATTCACCTCATTCAGGATGGTGGAGGACACTCCTTTCCTGCAGCCCCTGCTGTGCATTTCTCTTGCTGTTGACTTTCCTTAGCTCAGGGAAACGAAGAGATGACTTGCCCAAGAACTGGCCAGGCTCATTCAAATCAAATCAATGAAAGGAGGCAAAAATCCCAGTGCAGAGCCAGGTAAGAGGGAGGACAAGAAAGCTCTTTGCAGAGTCTGTGGGGTACAGCAGAGATTTCAGGCAAAGCAAATGGCATTACACCACCTCACCAGCTGGCACAAGGATGGAGCTTGGGGCAATCAGACAGGCAGAAGAGGGTGATGCAGCCCTCAGCCATCCTTAGGAAACCCACACCTGATGACTTTGCATTGTGGCACCTCTGATCTGTTCCTGTCACTTTGCTGTGATAATGCTCTGATGCATTTAGATCCACCAAGGTTGTCTGAAGACAGAAAGGGCTGGGGAGCCCTGATGCTTTAGAAAAATCTGTCCCTAGCTGTAAGTGCTTGAATGCCCAGTCCCAAGGAAGCCTTTTGATACCAAGAACTTGCTTTCAGCAAGGGTAGCAAAGCCCAGACAGCCTTCCTTGCCTCTAAAGAGAGGCTCTTCCTTGGGCAGACCAGCACATCTGGCAGGCCACGTCCCAGCAGCACAGGGTGGGAGCTAGAAGGTGGCTGGGAGGCACAGCATCCACCACGGCACGAGTTGCATATGTTTCAGCACATGAATCACTTCCTTACTGGACCATTTCCTCCATAAAAGCGTTTGCCTCCAAGCCTTTGTTCTAGCCATCCCTTGGGATCATCAAAGCCTGTTCAGTCCCTACAGTTTTTAGGATTCAACAGCAGACTGAAGATGCAATAGCAGAATTGACCAATGCTGTTTACCCCCAGCTGGTGCAATGCTGTGCTATTGATTTAGCTGGGATGTGAAGGAATGTTTACCATTCTTTCATTTACAAAGAGAGGAATAATGATTTTTTTTTTTAATGCTTCCCCTTCCTCACTGTAGATAATAAGTTGCTTGCTGAAGCAAGGGCTTTCCACGGGCAACATTTAACAGATGTGTTTTGAATCCTTCCTCAGCAACCAAATGCTTGCAGCAGTAACATACCTCCTTCTGTATCCCAAAATGAGCCATATGGTTAGCAGCAGACTTTTTTTATACCCTATGCAGGTCAGACAGAGGTTGTTTCCAGTTATTGCCATGGACAGTCACCCAACTCTGATCACCTCTGCCCTCTGACTTACAAGGGCTGGACCTACTGGCCTCACTCCCAAGAGGGTTGCCCAGAAATCAGGAAGGTGAGAGGAGATTTGATGTTAAAAACAGCTTTCTCCACATTTAGCATTTCAGCAGGTTAACCAAGCGACCAGGCTGCTCTGAATCTGACACAGAGCATCCCCATTATTGCAGCCTGTTTCCTTTAGTAGATGGTCCCCCACAGGAAAGGCAAGCTCCCCCAACTCCAATGGGCTCCCCACTCCCACCCATCCCATAGGCACCGGCACAGTCCACAGTCCCAGCTGCAGATGGACAGGACATATGGGGAGCACTCGGAGTCAGCTGGGATTATTCCCCTTGCCTAGCCAGATCCCATCTTGCTCAGCCAGGAAGGACAAGTGTGCTCATCTCCTCTCCCACCATGACCGCAGCACTCTGCGCATGACTGCCCACCCCAGAGACGATGTGCAGAGAAACCTTCAAGCCAGGGGAAATGCGGACAGTGATCCCATCAGCTGAAAAGGTAACAAGTAGCACACCAGACTCAAAACCAGGCCTCCTCCCTTCAGTCCCCCTCTGTGGCAGCCAGCTCCACTCCTGAGCAGCACAGCAGCACTCAGAGCTGGACAAGCCGCTCACCTTCCTCCTGGACAGCCGGTGGGGTCTCAGTCCGCCCCAAGTGTGCAGTCAGCAGCACTGGCGTGAGGCAGTGGCTGCAGCAGCCCAAGGAAGCGCGGTGCCATGCCAGCCGGCAGGAAGGCAGCATGATACATCAGGATGGCAGAGGCTGCCAGGCCCCGTGCCAGCACCAACAGTGCAGTGCCTGCCTGGAGACTACGGCTTCCCCGAGACCTGCAGCACCCACAGTGCAGCGCTCGCCTGTGCCCGAGACATCATTGCCAGAACAGCAACAACATTAACAAGTCCTGACTAATTAGTGCCTTTGTTTAACAGAACCCAGATATTTGCCAAGCTGGCTGCAATTCCATCAACATTGCCTCAACCCGCGTGGGGCCAGGGTTTGCAACAGGAGTCAGAGAGAAGGGGCTCAGCAGGGGTACACTGCACCCACCACCACCTGTTTTGGCACCAGCTGGTTGTAGTCAGCACACTGATGGCCTCCTCCTGGATGCACAGCTCTTGCTAGAGCTCTCAGTGATGGAAAAACCTGGAGGGGTGTGGGAGGGGAAAGGGCATGCGATGCAGAAATTCAGGGCACAGAACAGGCCCATCTCTGCCTGTTGGCAGCTTCAGGGCCTGTAAAGGGAAAAAGAACAGCCTGGCCAAAAGTCAGGCTCACTATTTTCACTGCAGAGCAGTGTTCCTAAGCCCAGAGGGGTGTTGTACAAACACAGCTTGTTCCTAGGAGGGACTGAGCACCCTCTTCATCCCAGGAGTCATGCACTCTACAGGACCAGCCTCCCTGCCCCCAGCAATGGGGACCCCACTTTCTAAAGCAGAGGGGGGACTTTAGCAAACTAAAACAGAGAAGGCACCCCCTTCTCACAGGTCAGCATTGGAAAGGGCAGAGCTGGCAAAGCATCTCCTCTGCAACATGTCCTGAGCAGGACAAGGATGGTTGGGACAAATCCTGCTGTGCCAGATGGGAGAGGGAGCTGCTTGGTGCCCCTTCCCCAGGCACTGTCCCATCCCTCCTGCTGGTGTCCCCTCTCTGCTCCCCGTGCCCCAGCAGGTGGCAGGGGTGAGCTGGCAGGGAGGTGGCAGCCAGGCAGGTCCCCAAGCCTGGCACCGGGCACAGCTCTGGAGCTGAGCCAGCTGCCTGGATGCCCCAGGGGCCAAGGCTGGTGTCAGCCCTGCCCCAGCACCCCCAGCCTTTGGCCAAGGTGCAGCTCAGCAGCCCCAGCAGGCAACACATGTGTGCTCCCAGGTGCTGCAGCAAATGCTGATAAACCAGCATCTTACTGAGGAAGAGACCTTGCTGATGGGGTACATAACACCCAGCACAGCTACAGCCACCCCTCTGCTCCCCAGGTGGATACCTAACACAGTGCATGCTGCTCTTACCCCCCAGCCCACATCCCATCCTCCCCACCCGCTCATTTCATGCTCTGCATTGCTGCTCTCCCCACCCTGCTCAGAAGTTGCAACACATATCCTCCTATTAGCATCACACTCTTGCAAGCATCCCGGTCACTTGCACCCACATCTCCTCACCAAGGAGGGGCTGGATGCTGTGAGCATGCTGCTACCAACAGACCCCACTGAGAAGCTGGCAGCCAGCTGCACTGCAGAGGAGCAGGGCTGTGTGTTTGTGGTCACACCTTGCCCTAAATACAGGTAGTTTCCTGTTATTAGCCAGCAGCAGGTGTCCAACACCAATGGCAGGCCTGGCCCTTAGTTTTTCAGGCTCATCCAGTGACAGGGGCCAGGCAATACCTCTGCAGGAGGGCCTGGCCTCTCCGCAGCTCTGTTTCGGCACAGCTTCCAGGGCATCCCTACCACCCAGCCCTCGTCCCCAGCTGCAGAGGGCTGCACGGATGCTGCCCATGCTGGGAGTGAAGCAGCAGGAGCCAGCATTACCCCACCAGCCAGCTGGCTCTGTGGAGCAAGATCCTCACCCAGCCCCTCTATCATCCACCTCCGCTCAGCTCTTCTTCACCTCCCATTTTCCTTTGCTCCTCCTGTTCTTTGCTGCTTCTCCTGCCGCCCCCTGCTTTCTCCTCCTCCTCTATCACACATCCTACTCCACACTTGCTCTCTCCCTCCTTCTCACTATTTGCATCTCCTCCTCCTAGCTCCCTCCATAATGCATTTCTGCAAGATAGCCCTCTCTGCATTTAATTTCTAATTTCCTTCTACCAACCTCCCTGCCTCTTTCAGATGGGTTTGGACCTCACTTCCCCATCAAGCCTCCTCACTGCACGCATGGACTCAAGGAGAGAGACACTGGCACCAACAAACTCCCCAGACAGCCAGATACCTCCTCCCCTCCACCTCAGGGCTCTTCCCTCTTTCTTAAACGCAAAGATCTCCATGCTGAACACCCCCCCACCTCTAGTCCCACCTTTGCTTACCTGAAGGGGGCAGCACCTTAGGTTTGGTGGTGGTTGACGACCCCAGGACACCTATGCTGGGGTTGGCAAACAACCTCTACAGCTACACCAGGCTGGATTCACACCTATCCCCGCAGAGTCCCAGGGTTGCTACACACAGATAGGACCCAGGCTCTAAACTTGGAGCCCACCGACTCTGCAAGGGCAAGGGTGTGGGATGCCAGTGAGATATGAAGAGGAGAAATGAAGGCCCTGCCCTGGAGGTGGCTCACCTCACAGGAGAGCTGGGGTAACCCAGCCCTTCCTGCCAGGGCATGTCCACCAGAGAGGGCTCCACTCTGCCCCACCCCAGACACAGGTGGAAAGAACAAATCCTCTGCATTCAACCTTGAAAGCCCTGTATGACTCAGGGGCCTGCTTGTCTGGAAGATCCTTCTCAGCCCATGACTCAACTGTGACAAGCATGGCTCAAAAGCAAACCTTCTCTTGAAAGCACGTATGGATTAAATGCTCTCCTTGATGGTTCCTCAGCTCTCAGACTTGACCAACCAATGAGTCAGAGAACATCCTGGTATGTGGATGCCCAGTGCTCCCCAGGAGGGTGTAACGGGACCACAGGGGAGGCTGCAGGAGTCTCCGACATGCACAGAGAACAACTGGGCTGCTCCAGCCCTAATGACTGATGGAAATGAGCAGAGCTACCACAGGACAGGGTCTACTTTATCGTCTTATTTTACAGCCTGTCTGTGCAGGCCAGAGGAGACATGCCCTGCTTCTCCCCTTGATGGGGTGAACATCATCAGTCAAATGAGAAGAGCCAAGAGGGTGGGGGAAGAGACAAGAGGAAAGGAGGGAGGCAGAACAAGTGCAGAGAGATAAAGAGAAGGAGATGGAAGCAAATATCAGAGTTTGAGCAGGAACTACCTTTCTTGGACACTTTCCTCCCCTCCTTAACTGAGCTGTGTTTTTTAGTGGCTTTATGGGTGCTGGCAGCTTGCGGCACACAGGTGAGGTGCACGGGGAGTCCAGCGGCTGACATCAGAATAGCCGTCATGCCTACAGCGGATACGAGATCAACATGCAGGAAGGAAACAACGGGGAAACATATTCATTAAAATAAACTTTAACCTTTCAAAGAAAATTTAAAAAGATAAAATAAAACAAAACCCAAGCCCTTGATTCAGGGGACATAAAACATCCAAGAGGCAACAGGGTTGGAGTCAGCACAAGGACACGATCCAGAGGCTTTTAGAGAGAGGAGCCCAGGCAGCAAATTAAAGAAGGGAAATACGGGCACAAGTCTCACCCGTGACCCTCTGAGCTGTGTATGAATAGCACCTTCCTCTTTGCCTTGGCTTTAGGCTTCTCAGGCATTGAGTCTGCTGTGGTGCAAAGTCCTCCCGCTCACCAGAGCCCTGGAAGCAGCCCTGACCCTGGGGGCCTGAAGGATGAGGGGCATCACCTGTAACCCCTAAAGATCCTGCTCAGCTATCCCTCACTAAAGCTATGTATTTCAAAGGCATCGCACCAAACCAATCCCCAGAGTCCAGCTTAACTGCCTTCAAACACTGCAGCAGCACTGGGCTGACCATGGGCTGGAGCTGCCCCACTCAATTCCCTGCCAGACAAGCCCGGTGGTGGCAGCCCCCCACTCACCCCACACCTTGGCACTCCAGTTTTTCCTAGCACCCCTAGCTGCAATGCAGTTCTCACCCTCCCCCATCCCTGTCAGCTGTATTAATGGGATACAGTTTGTTAGAGCTAATGAATCATTAAAAAGGACAGCCATTCCCTGAAGGTAAAATTGGCACACAGAGCTACAGGACTGATCATGCTGATCTAATATGATGTTTGCCCATGAAACACAGGCCTGTTACAAGTCATAACATTTCTAAGGTAGCATATTGCTATTAAACTTACATTCAAGAAAACACCTGCCTTTGCTTTCCCAAGAAATGACTTCCCCACCTGCAAAAGCCATCACCAGAACTAAAAAAAAAAATGCTTATGGTTGCAAACTAACAGCAGACAACCTAAAAGACAGCATTTCCCCAAAAGCTACCTCTGACAGTAGACCATGCAAAACCACATCCTAACACTAGTAAATTCTTGCCAGCATCCTGCATAGTAATTCACAGCCAAAGCTGAGACTAAGGATTTTCTTTTTTCAAGCCTCTATTCAGTTGGGTTGGGAAAGGAAGATATAAGAGCACATTTGTTCAGGACAAAAATGAGGTACCTTGCCCAGACACGATTGAAAATCAAGTTATGATGGGAAGCATCAGCCAGCTTGGTGTGCAAGTGGTAAGACTATTTTCTGCCTCAGACATGCAACTACTTAAGAACCCGCGCCTTGCGACTAGAAATGCCCTGCGCAAAGCCTGTGTCAATGCCCCACAAGCAGAACTACCCCTGTGCAGTGCCAACTGTGTTTTGCACCTACTTCACTTAAGGTCCAAACACAATAAATATTCCAGAACCTGTTCAAGTCCTTTCTTGACAGAGTTGGATGGTTAAACTAAAACTTTCTCACTTAAGGACCAAAAAACAGACAGAAAGGGTTTCGCAAAATGGGGAGAGGGGCACAGACAGATGAAGGAATTTCCCCAGGGTTACCTTTGGCAGAGCGGGTCTGGCTGGAAGACCAGGCTGCCCAATGCATGGTGAAACCATGCGCTTCCAAAGGGAAATAGGTAACACCAAACCAGGCAGCCATGGATCACCCTCATTAAGTACCATCATTGTTGATCTAGACCCGAGGTGTAGCCCCCCCAGTTCCCAGGAGCTGGGGGGCCAGAGGAAGATCTTCAAAGCATACAAGCACTGAGTTAGTACCCCTCACCCTACTGATAGCACCAGGCTGTTCCCGGCAGGTAGAGCCAAGGAGAGGCCCTGAAGTCAGTACAAGCCAGCAGGCCTCTAGTCAAACATTGGATCCAGAAATTTCACAATCAAAATAGCTTCCTTTAAGTCTTGAACCAAAGACTGCAAGACTACTGTGTGCTCTCAACCCCGGTCTAAGCCAGCAGTCCTTCACTACTCCCAGGGAGCCTTAAGCAGCAGCTTAAGTGTTCCCATAACAAAAGCTACTTGTTTTTTGAGCAAACAAATACAACTGAACATGTGAAGCCCAGCAAGAGCACCAAAGCTGTCACCTGCATATGCACCAGGCAGGTACTTTTCCCTTTCAGCAGGTTAAAAGACAGCTGGAGTTATTCCTAGAAGAGCG